AATCTAATGTATGAAATATGATATGTCAAGAGCTTTGTAATGTTGTGAACAACCAATAAAAAAAAGAAAAAAAGAATAGAAAAAAAAAGGAAAGGAAACTGAGCCGTCAGGAAGGCTCTGTGTGTTGACTGTGGTCGCCACCAGAGGCCCCGTTTCCATTTAGCCACTTGTCTTCTCCGGAGGACGCCCTTTGGGGCTGTCTGCTACTCCCGGACTCTCGAGCATTTGGGTGGACGTGGGGTTTGGAGTCTAGTTGGCTGCTTCTCCCGCCAGGTCTGCAGGGTGCCCTCCTCTGCACTCTTTCTGACACACCCAGTGCACTTTTTTGTGGTTCCTAACAGGCCGTTTCCTGTCACCTTCAAGACTTTCCCTTGCCCTGCTGTTGGCCATTTGGTGGTGCCCTTCCTGGGACACTCTGTCGTGTGCTGGGCTCCTGGGCTCCTGGAACCTGTGGGTCTACCTATCGTGGTTACCTGCAGGTCTTGCCCTCCCCACCGCACGTCCTTCCGGGGGGGTCACTTGCTGTTGGACCTGCTGAGATCACTGACGATCCCTTCGTCACAGTGACCGTTACCACTTTCTCGGATGCATCCGGATGCCTCCCTGGCTGGGTGTCCGGAGTCTCTGTTCATTCTTTCCCAAGTGCCTGGCTGAGTCTCTTCATCCCAGCCCTGGGCATGTTCATCTAGGAGTCAGTATTTGGGTGCTTTTCATCCACTGAACGTTGATCACATGGAGACTGGTTATGACCACTGCCTGGGTGTCCTGAGGCTGACCCTGAGACCTCGGTCAGGCTGGGTTGATTTTGACTGTGGCTTCTCCTTGCCATTGTGGCTCATATTTTTCTTAATTCACTGCACACCTGGTCACTTTTCCTCGGACGCCTGACTGTGAGTCTCACTTTGCCGGGGATGACCACAGTGTGTTCCTGTGAGTACTCCTGAGCTTCGCCTGCAGTGCTCAGTTACTTGAGGTGTTAATCCGTCCTGTGTTGAGGGCCGACTCCTCTGCATCAGGCAGGCCCTGCTGGATGCCCCCTCTGGCCCTGTGGCTCCTGCCCCCGCTCAGCCTCCTCCTGTGGGGGCTGCTCTCTGTTCCTGTGCTGCTAGGTCTGCACCGAGCCTTCGAGGTGCCCCTTGGCCTTCGAGCCTCTGAGTGGAACCCCTGCTGCTGTGTCCTCTCCCTCTGCCATTCCCGTGCTGTGATGTGTAGCTCGCCTCCAGGGAGCAAGCCAGGCGGTTGCAGGGCTGACCTGCTGTCCTTCCTGATTCCTAGGGATTGATGCCTTGGCTGGTCCAGTGTGTGATGTCTGGGGCTGCTGTTTGGAGTGGGGCACATTTGTTTCTGCCCCTCTTCTTGGCTGGAGCCCTCACCTAGCATGTGCAAGGCCCTGGGTTTGATCCTCAGCACCACATAAATAAAGATACAGCTAAAAAATGAATATTAAAAAAAAAGAAGTCCCAGCTGTGTCTGCAGAGGTGTCATGCTTCAGGCACTGTTCCAGGCATGGGGACGTGTCAGTGCAGAGAAGACCCTGCCCTCAGCAGCCGATGCACGGGTGGGCCAGGCAGGTGGGCAGTGACTGCCACTCATCTGGGCAAGCCAAGCTCCGTCCTGATCCCTGACTCTTAGACCTGGCTGATGCTTTCTGAGCCCTCACTGTTGTTATCATTCTCACCACTTGTTTACTAGTTCATGGGACCCTAAGAAGGGACCTTCCTATCCAGGAACCTCCTAAAAAGGACTGGCAATCCCACCCTGGCTATTGCTTGGGTCTCTGTTTTTGTATCGTGAAGGCCAGGCTCTTTCCTCCCGCGGCAGACTTTCCTTTAGAGCACACAGCTGTCTTGGTTAGAAGGCTCTGTTTCCCCACTCTTGAAGCCTCAGAGGGCAGAAGGGAGGGATGTGCAGGTCGGCGTCACCCAGGGTGGAAGCACCCGTCTTTCTGGGCAGCCATTTAGCAGCATGTCATTAGAGCCCGTGTGGAGTTTGAACTCTTGACTTGTAATTCCATTGCTTGAAGTCAGTGCGGCCTGCTCCGGAACATCTTGCACCACGGGGCTGGCCACAGCCTTTCTGTTGGTGTGGACTGCACACTGCACACGGCTTGCAGGGCTGGGGGGAATGAGTCCATGTGTTTCACAGGGTGGAGCCGTGGTGATGGGCTCTGGCTGCAGGGGTCAGCTGTGGAACGTGACATTAAGCACACAGGAAGAGCTCAGCTCTGCCCAGGAAAGGCCGGGGGCGCAGTCCTGGGAGAAAATAGGCCAGCCTGCCAGGTAGTTCCATCAGGGTCACTCCCCTGCCTCTGTGCTCTCCTGTTGGTTCTAGACTTCCTGTGATGAACGTGTGTGAATGATTTCATGCTTAAAAAGTTAAAGGAGGGGCTGGGGATGTGGCTCAAGCGGTAGCACACTCGCCTGGCATGCATGCGGCCCGGGTTCGGCCCTCAGCACCACATACAAACAAAGATGTTGTGTCCGCCGAAAACTAAAAAGTAAATATTAAAATTCTCTCTCTCTTAGAAAAAAAAGTCAAAGAAAAAAATCAAACTTTCAATGTTCATGTAATTCTGGGAACAAATGTTAGGCACTTAAAGAACAGGACAGTTTTTCTTTCTCAATGCTCTCCAAAAATATCATCATCAAGAAAAGAACAGGGCAACTGTTTTCTCACCTGTACAAGCCTGTCGTGCTTTGCATTTTGAGTGCAAGGAGTAGCGTAAAACCACTCTGACGGACCGTGAGGACAGAAGGTGCTGTGCAGCGATGTGCCACGGCCAGGACCGAGGCTCTGTTACAGACTTGCCCTCACACAGAGCCCGGCAGCCCAGGGCCATGGTTTCCCTTCCGCAGATGGGGTCGGGGCCTGGAGAGGTTGCAGGGCGTGGGATGGAGGGCGGCTCCTTTGTGCTGGCTGGCTGCACACACTGCTCCTTGTCTGCTGGCTCCACAGGGACAGGAGGGCTGCTGTCTGGGCAAAGGACCGTGGCCTGGGGGTGCCTGGCCCTGAAGGGTCTCCTCCCCCTGCAAGGAGAAGACTGAAGTTCAGGGAGGGCTTTGCTGGGTCCCCAGCTTGCTGAACCCCCAGATCCCACAGCTCTGACCCTTGCTGGGGCTGGGGAGGCCCTTCCCCTCACTCGGTGGCCTCAACTCTACTCCAGGGACAGGCCAACTTGCAGCCTTCTGGGTGGGCTTGGTAAGGGGTGGCTTCATGTAGTGTCCCTCTGTGATGTCACTGCCTGGTGGCATTTTCACACAAGTAGGATTTGTAGGCTGCCACATGAACAAAAGCAACACGGAGATGTAGCAGCAAAAATAGAATTTTGCATGTCTGTCTCCAGTTCTGACAGAGGAGAACCTGCTCAGTGTGCAGAGAGGTGCACAGGGTGGGCCTGGTGCTGAGCCCACAGGGAGCCGTCGCAGGGGAGGGCACCACCTTCCTAAGGAACGGGCTGGCCCTGCCCTGAGCACCATGTGAAAGGCACCTCGTGCTGGGGACAGTTCCTCAGAGCCTTCAGATGCACAGGATCAGAGAGCAGGCTGCCAGCGGGGAGCCCTGGAGACACCTGGGGTGGCCCTGCCCGGGAGCAGGCCTGGGGTGGTGTGGACGTTGCCATGGTCTCAGCTACGCGGCAGGCTGTCACAGCCCTGACCAGCAGTGGCCTGTGGCTTTGCAGGGTAACACAGCCCCGCTGGATGTGGCAGTCCCACACTTTCCCCTCTTCTATTTCAGGATAACGTGTTAAACATCATTAACCAGATCATGGACGAGTGCATCCCCCAGGACCGCGCCCCTCGGGACTTCTGTGTCAAGTTCCCCGAGGAGATCCGGCATGACAACCTGGCTGGCCAGCTGTGGTTCGGGGCTGAGGTAGCTGTGCCACCTGGGTTCCAAGGTCCCAGTGTTGAACTCCTTATCCAGTCATTTCCCTGTGACCTGACCCTGGGCACCTGCAAGTGCAGGTGTGGTGTCTCCTCCTAGGCCCGCCTGCCCAGGTTTGCAGATGGTGTGCTCGGAGCCTGTTAGAACGCACGGCCCTCGGAGGGGCTGGGACAGCCACAGACCTAAGCCTCAAGACTGCACACGCAGTGAAGCTCCCAGTGTGGCTTTAATGAGAGCCTCAGGCCCCCGACATCCAGGACCGGAAAGTGGTTTTTTTAAAAATTTCTTTAAACATTTATTCTTTCGTTGTAGGTGGACACAATACCTTTATTTAATTTTTATGTGGTGCTGGGGATCGCACTCAGTGCCTCCCGCATGCTAGGCGAGCACTTTTTCTCTGAGCCACAGCCCCAGCCTCCTGAAAGTGGTTTTTTATCAATATCAAGAAGGTGGTCCTCCTCGTTCCCTGGCTATGGTGATAGCTGAGATGGGGGTCCTGGGCGCCTCAACCCTCCACTTCTTCCAGTAGCCCTTAAGAGTTTACCTTCATCTCCTGGTGAGGAAACTGAGGCACTGAGAGGAAGCTGCCCTTCCCACGCCCCCGGCTTTGGGGCTTCCCACACCCCCACTGTGTGGACCTCCCGACTCCTGCCCTTGACTGTGCTCTGGAGATAGAGGGGCTTCACTGCCCTCTGTGCTGTCCTGTCCTCTGTGCCCTCTCCATGTACCTCTGGATCCGCCCCACCCGTGTGCCCCATCCCCCCTTCCCCACCCCATTCCTCTGAACTCCCTGGCTGGCGCATCCTCCCGAGGTTCTGGTTGGGTGTGGGTGCCCCGGCACGCTGCCCTCTCTCAGCCTCAGTGTTTGTCCTGTGATGTGGGCCCTGGGGCAGCGGGCGGCTGTGAGGAGGTGCGAGAGGAGGAGGGAGAGAGGAGCTGGTGCCCACAGGCTCCCCTGCAGGGCTGACCTGGGAACCAGCAGGCTTCTCCCCACTCGCGCCTGGGAACCTGCTTCTTGTCCTGAATGGTTGTTGCGGGAGGGGACTGGCTGGTGGATTGGTTCTGCTTTTTGCTGGACAGTGCCTGGCCTGTGGTGAGCATCCACATTGCAAAGAGGCCCTCCTGGGGGCGGCTGCCTCCCCACTGGCCTGAGAACAGTTGGCAGAACTTTGTGTGACTGAGAGCCTGGGCAGACGTGGGGTTAGTGGGCAGAGGGACTGTTGCCGGCCAGGAGCTGAGGTCTCCTCTCGGGTCAGGTTTTCTGGACCTTGAGCTTGTTGCCGTGAGCTCCTGTCTCTTCCAGGAGACTGTGTGTACAGGGAGCCCAGCTCAGCCCTGCCAGGCGTGCCTGGGCACGGAACTGGGATGTTCTCTGGGCAGTCCTCCCTTGGCTGGACCAGGAGGGGACAGGAGTCACATCACCAGAGCCAGTCCCCCTGACCTGGCTCTGTTGGCCCTCCCCTCTCAGCTTGCCCTTTAGGTCAGTGGGGGGACCACGCTGGTCCCAGTCAGGGACATTTGTTAATGCTGCCATGTTGCAGTACTTGACAGGGACCTCTGCAGAGGGGCAGGGCAAGTGCCAGGCGCTGGCCAACTGCCTCGGGGCACGCACACTGTTCCTGGGGACAGGGCCATTCCTGAGTGTGTTCTTTTGTCCTCAGTGCCTGGCTGCTGGTTCCATCATCATGAACCGCGAGCTCGAGAGCATGGCTATGCGACCGCTGGCCAAGGAGCTGACCCGCAGCCTGGAGGATGTTCGGGGCACCCTCCGTGACCAGGCGCTGCGTGACCTCAGCACCTACACAGAGAAGATGCGGGAAGCGTTGAGGCACTTCGACGTCCTGTTTGCCGAGTTTGAGCTGAGGTGACCCTGGGGGCCCCGGGCATGGGGAGTCACGCCCTGGCCCTATGTGTCTTAGTGGGGGGCCAACTTTTTGGGATGCATCCTGATATCTCCAGCAAGAAAGTTCCATGTAGGGAGGAACGGCTGGGGAGTCTGGTGCCAGCTGGTGGTGTGGTTAACTTGGGGCTCTGTGGGGGGATGGGGCTTTCCATGTAAGCAGAAATGGCACAGGTGGGGTCTGGGGGGTCAGCCTCCAGGGGAGAGGACTTGGGAGAGGCCCAAGGTGCCAGGCACATTGCACAGTGCGCACAGTCCGGGGGGTGCTTGTGGTGGGCCAGGAAAGGTCAGACAAAAATCCGCATCCCAGGTGGCCAAGGTCGTGCGTCTTATGAGGCACAGCCCGGCGGTGACGGGATCCGCCCTAGGAGGTTTGGGTTTGGGTTTTGTTTTCTTTTGTCTTCCCTGGAGTCAGTGGTTGAGAAGGAAAGAGAATGGGAGAATGGGCTGACTCTCCCCCACAGCTGCCAGGCCCTGCAGCCGTCCTGTGAGCCCTGCGCCTGGCCAGGCCGGCTCCAGGCTGTGGAGGTCCACATGGCCTGACCCACCCAGGCAGCTGGGGTGGGCAGTAGTGGGGGCCAGTCATCGAGTGGCGGTGATGCCCCTCCCACAGGGCAGGCCACGGGCTGAGGAGGCCTGGAGGAGGCCTGCCTGGGTGGGAGCGAGGGTTTAAATAGCACCGTGAAGTGGGGCCTGTGATGACGTGGTCACCTCGGGAGTTGGGGTCTTAACTGAAGGCCCATTCGGGAGGCCAGGCAGGTCCCTGATGTGCTCTGCTGTGTCCGCAGCTATGTCTCGGCCATGGTGCCCGTGAAGTCCCCCAGGGAGTACTACGTGCAGCAGGAGGTCATCGTGCTGTTCTGCGAGACGGTGGAGAGGTAGGACGGGCTGCCCCGCTGCCCTGCTCCAGGCCCAGGCGGAGGGCAGCCCACCTGTGGCTGGCCCCATGCCCCTGTTCTCTGGGCCCAGAGGATAGGTGTTGCAAGTGAGGCCGTGCGACGGGATGGACGTGGGAAGGCTGGGCACAGGGCTGACGTCCAGCCTCCCCCCCTCCCCGCTGCCTCCTTACAGCGGGGCCTTGTGGGCTTGGGCCTGCCGAACCGGCTCTGGGGGTGAATCAGGGCCTCGTTCAGTAACTCAGGGTCCCATTTTCTGAACGGACTCTGGGGCCAAGATCTCGCCTCCCATAGTTTTCCAAGGGACTTGCTTCGGGGACGTTCAGGTCCGGGGTGTCTTTGTCCCAGGCTTATTCTTGGCACGAGCTGTTTTGAGTTCCTGGTGGACGGTGCCTTTGTCTGGATGACCATGCCCTCTTAGGCTGCTGCTGGGTGGCCACTCCTGCTCTCTCCATCCCTCCTGCAGCAGTGGTGGGAGTGGACAGATGGCAGATGAGGCTCAGCAGAGCCCGCCTCTCCCTGGCCTTTTCTTCTAGCACCAGCCTTTTTGCACGTGCGAGGGTTTGGGTGGCACAGGTCAGCCTCCGACCCTTCTGCTGATGGAGGACCCAGGCCAGGGTCAGGCCCGCTGCCCTCCTCATGGATGCCCCACTCAGTCCCTTTCTCCCTTGGCCAGGGCCCTGGACTTTGGGTACCTGACCCAGGACATGATCGACGACTATGAGCCGGCCCTCATGTTCACCATCCCTCGGCTGGCCATCGTGTGGTGAGTGCCCCCTGCCTGGCTGACCATCAAGTCCCATGGTGCCAGGCCCTTTGGGTGTTGGTAACGGTCCCTATGCTGCTCACGGTGGCTGCTCAGCTGCCCAGAGCTGTCCCTGGGCAGGCCTGCTGTTTCCTCAGCAGCCGAGGAGCCCAGTGTCCTGAGCACCTCTCACCCCCCTGGTGAGGGAGAGAGCACCCGGCCTCAGCAGTGCCAGACGACCAGCCCCGTCACCCTACGTTGCAGAGGTGAGGTGGACAGCGCAGGTGCTCACAGCTCAGGGGAGGCAGACACAGCACAAGACCCAGGGCCACTTGGGCTGCCCTTGGGGCACAGTGACCCTGCAGAGGCTGGCTTTTCAGTGACGGAGTGCGAGGCCCCTGGGTTCCACGGGGGTGTGATTGGTTGTTGTGGTAGTCTGTGGACTGACAGAGAGGTGCATCTGCTGGGCACTGGACCAGCTGGGCAGGCTGATGGGGATACCTGGTGGGGAGCCTTCTCACTGGTCAGCCTTTGGAGCCTTGTGGGGGCTCAAGGACGCCCAGGCAGCGCCTGGGACTCTGGGCAGGAAACACCTGGTTACTTCTCAGCCCTTCGGAGATCCTGGGGCCAGGTCTAGAGCCCAGGAGTTCTGGAGCTTCCTGCACCACTGCTCACCCACACCTGGACTTGTGCAGCGACACCCCTTCCCTGTGCCAGGAAGAGGAGGAGGGACAGATGTGCCATGGGGACCTGTTGGGCTCGCAGCCAGCAAAGCGGCCCTGTTGGCAGCTGGTTCAGAGCTGGGCACAGAGCAGGGGGTGGGGAGTCCTGGGGAAAGGTGTCCGTTGGAAATATGGACATCAGTGGTGTGGTCAGGGCGGGGGCAGTGGGCACAGAGGCCAGGACAGCCCTGGCTCAGGCTGAGGAGAGGCCCCCTTGAGGGCCCCAGGGCATCCTGAAGCGCAGGCACATGCAGCAGGGCAGAGGACACACAGATCTCCCTCCGGGGAAGAGGGGTGCGGAGTGGGAGTGTGGGGAGGGTGCACAGGACAGGATCTTAGGCCTGCAGGGACAGAGATGCTTTCCTCCCCACAGGGACAAGTCGAGGCTGCAGCAGCAGGCGCTGGGCATGAGTCTGGAGCCCCCTGGTCAGGCCGTTTGCCCACCTGCCTCCTCAGCCGCCCCTTCAGGGAGGCCTCCAGGGTGGTCACTGAGCCTGGTCTAGCCCTGGCCGCTGTGGCCGAACCCTCTAAGGCTCTCAGTGCCCCAGCCCCTTCCTCTTGCTGTCCTCACTCTTCCCTCTTGAAGTTCTCTCTTTCACAGAGTTGGTGAGCTTGGGAGGCAGGGCTGGGGCACATCACACCCAGGACAGCACTGTAGAGTCCCCTTCCTAGGAAGAACTGGGAGTTTCCCTTCACCCAGGGACGTCAAGCTGGAGGGCCTGTCAGAGGTCCCCGGAGGTCAGTGCCGGGTGGCTTGGAGGGAGGTGCCCTCCGGGGGAGACACAGTCCTGCCCTGCTGTGCAGAGCCCACAGGCCTCCAGATCCGCTTGCGTGGTATTCTCTCTGGGCTGGCTGCTCTCTCTTGCAGATTCATTTTGGTGAAATGGTGGACAGCCAGCACCTTGGAGTCAGAGCCTCACTCTGCCAGCAGGGATGGGTCTGTGGGTCTTTTGACACTGCAGCTCTGAGGCTGGGCGCTTTTAGCCCGTGGCCAGCACAGACTTCATAAATGAAGGTTCGGCTACATGAGAAATCCTCAGGGAGTTTGAATTAAAGAGACAGGCTCTAATTACCTTTAAACCAGCTCCAGGACGGCTTCTCCTAGCTCCAGCCTCCAGCCACCTATTAATGGTAGCGAGGTTTACTGAAGAGGCTAGCGAGAGAGAGAGAACACGCCAGGGAGTGGACTTTTATTGGGGAACAAAAAATTCTGGGGAAAATCCCATCCAGTGAAGATTAAGGGGGGCAGTGTCCCAAGGTCAGGTGTGATGATTGGGTCTTCGGAGTAGTGGCCAGACACACCTCCACACGGACAAGCCCTCGGACCCGAGAAGGGTGGGGAAAGCTCTGGACACAAAGATGTGTCTAAGCACCTCTCGCCCAGCCAGGGAGGTACCTTGAATCACGGGCGAGGATGGCCTCCCACAGGCACTGCCTTCAGGAAGCACCACGAGTCTCCCTGTTTAAAACGCCCTTGCAAGAGCTTTGGAATCGCGCAGTGCTCAGTGCCAGCCAGCACAGGGCCCCGGGATGGGTCCAAGGGGTCCTAGGAAAGCTGCAGAGCCAGCCAGGCCAGCTGCCGTCCTGGGCTGGCATGTCTGAGGTGACTGCACTGACCTCCCTGCTCTATAGGCTGCGCACCTGACCAAGCAGGGCAGAGGGAGGGCTGCGGACGTAGCTCAGCATTCGGACACTTGCCAGCATGTGCAAGGCCCTGGTTCAAACTCATGGAGGCCCCCAAGGCCTCTCCTAAGCAGCACACTAGTTTTAAAATAAACACCAGGTTTCAAAAGCTCCCCCAAGTACACTGTGTTTCTGGGTTCCAAACTGGAATTTGCTGCCCAGATGTGTCCAGCTCTTTATCATACTCCCCATTGCTGCCAGTGCCCAAGCACAAGCGGCTACAGGACACTGGCCACTTCTCTCTGACCAGCCTCGTGATCTGTCCTCCTGTGAGTGGTCAACAACCCAGCCAAGAGCCCTCATCCTGGGAACAGGGCAGGGGCCAGACTGCTGTGGGCCGGAGCTTTGTCCTGGACGGTCCCCTCCTGGAGACAGCATCCTGAAGTCCCCTGGGGCCTCAAACTGGAGAAAGAGCCTGGAAAGGAACAGGAGGGGATCCACAGGAGAGTTGGGGTGCATGCAGAGGAGGAGCAGGTGCTGGTGGCTCAGGAAGTGGATGCAGGTGCAGGAGGCTGGAACCCAGGGTGGAGGTTCCCCACCTTCATTCACCGCTGTGCCCACTGCCGGGGCAATGGGCACAGAGTCCAGATGGCCTATGGAAGCACAGTGGGCTTTGTAGAGCTTTGGACATTTATCTGACAGGGCACCAATATGTATTTATAAAGATTATCCTGTTGAAGGACTGGATATTCAGAATTAATGGATTGATTAAACATTATACTCTAGTCATTGAAATGATGTTAGGGAAAAATCCTGAATATTGTGCAAAAACATCTCCAGCATATTAATACAGAAAGTTGCTGTGTATCTATTCTACAAAATTTCTTTCTTTCTACTTTTTAAACTGGCGCATTATGGTTGTAGGTAACAGTGGGATGTACTGTTACATATTCCAACATGCAACTGTGTAATGACATAATTTGGCCAATATCATTCCCCAGTGTTTCCTCTTTCCCTCACCTCCTCCCTTTCCTCTGCTCTCCTGATCCCACTCCAGTTTCCATGAAATCCCCACCTTTCTTCTCCTTTTCCTCTCTAGCTCCACAGAAGAGAGAAAACATACCATCCTGACCTTCTGAGTCTGGCTTATTTCACTTAACATCATGGTCTCAAGTTCCATCCATTTACCTACAAATGACACAGTTTGATTTTTCTTAGTGGCTGAACAAAACTCCATTGTGTATGTATAACACATTTTCCATATTCATTCACCCATTGATGGGCACCTAGGCTGCTTCCATAGTTTGGCTGCTGTGAATAGTGCTGCTATCTTGGCCACGGCCTGCATTGGGAGGGAGCAGGTAACTGTTGGAGGTATGGGCTGGCGTTGTGGCTCAGGGGTGGCACTCTCACCTAGCAAGCGCGAGGCCCTGGGTTCGCTCCTCAGCACCACATAAAAATAGATAAAGGTATTGTGTCCATCTACAACTAAAAAGTAAATATTTAAAAAAAGATATAAACACCAAAGACGAGAAGTAGATGCTCAAAGCGGGGGCTTGACTGGCGTAAGAGACCTGACGGGTCTGAGCCTCACAAAGGGAAAAGGCCACAAATGCTTTATTTATAGTGAAACACATCAAAGGGATTCAGTGAGGAGCTTCTTTAAGAAACAGGATAAAAATGGAGAAAAAGGTTGTTTGGGGCTTGGCGGGTTACACCCATCTCTGGGTGGCTGCAACAGTGGCAATTTGATCTATTTTTTTCTAATTTTTTTATTCCTTTTATTTCCTTCTCTTACTTAATTGTGTTGGCTAGAATTTCTTTTTTTAAAATACTTTTTAGTTGTAGTTGGACACAATACCTTGATTTTATTTATTTATATATGGTGCTGAGGATCAAATCCAGCACCTCACCATGCTGGGCGGGCGAGCACGCTACTTCTGAGCCCCCGCCCCGCCCCTAGAATCTCTAATACTATGTTGAATAGGAGTGGTGAGAGGAAGTCTCCTTGCCTTGTTCCAGATTTTAAAGGGAACATCTTCAATTTTTCCCTATTCACTATGATGTCATCTTGGGTTCGTCATATATAGATTTTATGATGTTGAGGTAGGTTCCTTCTGTCCCTAGTTTCTTCAGTTCTTTTTCTTTTAATTATGTATGGGTGCTGAATTTTGTCAAAGACTTCTCTGCTCCTATTGAAAAATAAACAACTCTTATACTGATTTCTATTTATGTGGTGAATCACATTTATTGATTGGCATGTTAAACCATCCTTGCATCCCTGGGATATAGCCAACTTGGTCATGGTGTATAATCTTCTAAATATGTTGTTGAATATGATTTGCTAAGTTTATTAAGGATTTTTGCAATTGAGTTCATCAAGGATATTGGTCTGTAGTTTTCTTTCCTTGATGCATCCGTATCTGGTTTTGGTTTAAGGTGATACTGGATTCATAGAATGACTTTGGAAGTGTTCCACTCTTTTATATTGTGTGGAATATTTGAGGAGTATTGGCATTAATTCTTTAAAGGTCTGATAGAATTCAGCTGTGAATCCATCTGATCCCGGGCTTTTCTTTTTTGGAAGCCCTTTTATTACTACTTCTATCTCCTTGCAAGTTATTGATCTGTTCAGGCTTTCTGTGTCCTCTCAATTCAATTTTGGCAAGTCATATG